TGTAGTTCTAAGTCACCGCACCCGGAGTGAGTAGGACAAGACTTGGTTCCTGCTTCAGCGGTTGGGGCCTAAGACCTAGATGTCTGGGACGTTGCTATGGCAGTGCTCAGCCTCATCTTAAAGGTCAAGACCTGTCTGCCCCGAACATTCTGATTGCAACCGAAGACCATACAAATGAGGAGTGCAGCACTGTGGATAACTTTAAGTCTTACAGAGACTTTCAGTTCATATGACTCTTTTTTTCGTGAGTCTTTCGGGCTGGGGTTGCCAGAGCTTCCCATAAGCATCAAGGAGCTGAGAAGAACCACGGAGGATTGAATCTACCACGGAGGACTGAACCAACTATGAGCCTCCCCCACTCCTGCCGCCTTTTTTTCTTCTGGCATTTCTGTCGACTTTGGGCTCCATTCCATTGGGCTGGCAGGATCCAGAAGAACAAGGCAGTTCTGAAGTATTACCTATCAGAACTTAACCGGGTGGCTAGTTGAGGAAATAACTGTTCCAGGCCCACATAACCTTGTATTTTCTCTGGCTGGGGCCTGTTAAAGGAAGAAACCCTTTCTCTGGTCCATAAGCCCATGAGATACTGTATTTGCGTATCACCAAGCAAGACTTTCTGACTGCGGTTTCCAGTTTCAGTATCTTCTTCTAGTCCATAATACTCTGTCTCTATATCAATCGTAATAAAACTGTACTTTCATACCATGAGACCTTCTTGGTTTCCCAGAGCAGAGAAGGCCGTTATTTGTGCAGCAGTTTGAGAAATCGTTAATTATAATCTCAGGCCACTGCACCTTTAGATTTTTCCAAAATGTTCCTTAAATTCTTGCAACAAACTTCAAATTTCTCACCATTTGATCATGGACAACTTTTTAACGTTAAAAAGCATTACAGCTTACAGATATAGGGGGAGAGAGAGAGCGCTGGTTGCCCTCCTGGAGGACTGGGTTAGATTCATGTTTGGTGACTTGCAGAATTCAGTAACTCAAGTCCCAGGTGTTCTGCCACCCTTTTCTGGCCTCCGCAGGTACGGCATGCACATGGAGTACAGACAAGCATGCAGGCAAACACCCATACATAAAGTATTTTTAAAGTTAAGATTTCTGAGCAAAATCTATCTTCATAGAATATTCCTTATTTTACTTCAAGTCATAATATGTTTTTCTAGAAATTTGATAGGATTTTCGTCTCATCTTTGTCAAGTTGTTTGTCCAATTCTGGTATGATGTGGTGTGGGCCATTAGGCTAGCTTCATCTTTTCAACTGTATGAACTCCTTCTCAGCCATGAACGTACTTTAGATGATGTGAGTTATTCTAGCTGCCTGGGATAAGATGGGATCACAAGCTCATTCAGGAGATCCCTGGTTTAGAAGTGGGTGCGAGGAGTCTGAACCTCAAAGGCTTGGACCTTAAGAGAACTGAGAAGCTGTCTTCTTATTCACCCCAAACAATGAACAAAATGCGGCTTAACACATTACACGTTGAAGAACAAACACATGATTTTAGTTTAATAAAGTAACTTGGGGAAAAGATCTCGTGAGTGAAGTTATATTCTCACCCATGCCTCCTGACCCATGAAGACTTCATTGGAGTTTCTAGTGAAGTAGGGGAGCAGTGTGTCATGATAGGAAGTTATTATAGAGTTATTGTTCTTATCGGCACATCAGACTTACCTGAAAGGAAGCTGATCAGCATTCTGAAGACTTCTGTTATTAAAATAGGTTGTCAAAGAAATTCTCACACTAAACACAAAAGACTCCATTGAGTATTTGTGTCCTCGGATAATTAACTCTTTTAAAGAGATAGGCTTCACATTTAATTACAGGTGATAATACTCGTTGGTTGATTGAGATATTCTCTGTTTTCTTCTTCCTTTTTAGCATTTTTGGGGGCCGACTGACAAAACGTCTATTTTCAAAGTGTATAATGGTGTTTGATATATATATATTATATATGTGCATGTATATAATATACATGTACATAAATACATGGATACACATAGAGTAAAAAGATTACCACTATCCAGTAACTGACATTTTTCCATCACCTTAAGTAGTTGCCTTCTGGGGAGTGACTGTCTTTAATGTATGCCTTCTCCATACATTTCTAGTCCACAATACATTAAGAGCTGACCATCTAACTGCAGCTTTCTCTCTAGAACTTTTTGGGCTTTGAACTGAATATCAATACCATCTGAGCACTCTTTATTTATGCCAGCCTCCCTCAGGTGGTATTAATCATTCTAGACTTGACAAAATTCGTCCTGGGGTTCCCAGATTTCCAAGCAGGAGCTGGACTTTGACAGACCAAGGATGGAAAAGCCACTTGCTGTATTGCTGGAGAAAAGCAAGGCTCTAGCACTTCTTAGTGGAGAGGAAAATCATGCACTTTTCTCCACTTTGGCTTCCCCATTTCCCTTTGGAATGCTGCCATGGTGGTAACTTTCTAATTGGGAATGTTTTAGTTATCCTGTCTCAGGCTTTATCAAGGAACCACCATTTAGGGTACAGGTAACTTTCCTCTCTTTCTTTCTTTCTTTCTTTCTTTCTTTCTTTCTTTCTTTCTTTCTTTCTTTCTTTTTTTGAAGTTACAGAGCAGGGAAAGTTCCATTCTGATGCAGTTAAGGGTAAGATCTTGATTTGATTTTTTTTTCTGATATGGCAAGAAAATGCTATTATATTAGGAGGGAGAAGACTGAACTGGGTAGATTTTTTACTAGTAAGGTAAGACATGCTGAGATTTGCTGTCTGTTCACCAATCTTATGCTTCTGTGCTGCATTTTATTCCCCTGGATTCATGTAACTGTGTATCAAAGAAGCAAAGGTGGGCTGAAGTTAAAAAAAAAAAAAAAAAAAGGACAGTGTGAGGAAGGACTGGAAGAAACTTCCTCTGCGCCAACTGGGGAGCATATCATCAACCCACTAATTTCAACTTAGTAAACTTAATTTCAAACTTCTGACCTTCATGTCAGGAGAAAATAGATGTTTTTATTTCAAACTGTGAAGTTTGTGGTAATTTGTTGCAAGAGCCAAAAGACTCAAATTGCTGTTCAAGAGCACATTGCTTTATTCCACCTTCCCTTTGCAGTGGCTTTCGAAGTCCATGCACTCTTGGTATGCTTCTTCATCTTGCTGTGAACACTTTGTAGTAATTTCATGGTCGGCAAGTCATTGCCTTTAAAATAGAAAACTATCTATTTGTATGACCATTATCAGGGCTTAAGGATTGTAAGGAACATGCAATGGCTCTGGAGACTCACAAGTGCACTGTAAGTAGGTATTAAATGCATTATTCGGAAAAGGTGCTGACATTTTGAAGCAAAGGAAATGATAGTGGGTGGAGAAATGGTCAAAATGATTTCTAGGGGCAAGTGTTTAGACACAAAAGACAATAACGTAATATATTTGTTTTGTCTTCTAGAGACTGTTTGAAAAAAATGTACTTACTATTAGCATATATTTAAATTGTTTAAATTTCTTTAGCCTTACCTATGAAGTATACATTTTATAATTGGATGTGAAAGTAAATCATTCCATCAACTTAATTTTGTTGTATGGCCTAAGGAAATCCAGCACAAGCCAAGCAATATGGAGAGACTGTTAGCTTTAATAACACGTAGTAAATGATTTGGCGAGAAAAGAAAGAACGTTCAGATTTTTTTGATTTGTTCATCAGCATCTGTAAAAAATAAAATAACATCAGTTTTGGATAACAATTTTTCAAATTTCTTTAGATAAAGCAAGATTATTTTTCTTATGTGTTTGCTATGATAAACTATATAGATTTGTCATCTAAAAATTCATGTCATAATACATGCTTAAAAGAAGTAAAGATTTCTTCTGCTTTCTTACAGATGCGGCATTCCTACAATTATATATTTCTATAGGAATTAATAAATATTTGAACTAAAATGCAATGTAACAGTTTATTTAAACACTATATAGGTATCAAAAATCATGGCCTTGAGTGGCTGTTGATTTAAATCAATACTGTCTTTCGGTATTGAATAATTTAAAGGAAAATTCTTTTTCCATTTTAGTGGACTTTCCAGAAATGCAACATTTTCCTCTTTGCCTGTTTTTCATTGAGTATCTTACATGTAATAAACTTGAAACACATGCCTGTGAAAATGTGAAATTAAGTGCATCTAATATTGGATATTATTCACTAATAAGTCTCTCATCTTAAATTCTAGTAAAATAAACAATGCCAAATAATTTAGCAGTATTCAAGATTGAAGTAAAAACTGAAAATGTTTAATGTCATTGGAAATGACTATTGTTAAGGTATATCACTTATAGTCCTAGCTACCATCACATTTGATTTTCAGTGTAACTTTAGGCATTGATGGCACCTCAGCTTTTAGAATTTTGATCTGCTTGACAGTCAAAATAATGCTTTTTAATCATAACCTTGTAGTAGCTTTGCAGTAGGACATAGTTTAATCATTTTATTTATTTTGCTCATTGTGAGTATGAAGAAGGGAGATGCGCAAGTGAGCATTTTTGCCAGGACCTTCATTCTCAGGACAGTGATTGAGGTAAGAGAGAGAACTTGAAACAGGGTAAGGATGCAAGCTGGTAGACAACATACAGAATTGCCCACTGGTCCTTAACGGGCAACACTTCTCTAGAGTTTAGTCTCCATGCCATTTATTGAAGCTTGTTCCTAAACTAATGACTATTATACAGAATAGTTAGGTCATAATCAATTTGCATCAGTTTGAAGAACCTCCTATTCTGAAAACAGCCTGAAAAATTTACACAGTACATAAATTCATCATGTCTTAACTTCTGGGACCCAGGTAACCAGTGATTGCACCTCACTTTATCACTTCCATGTTGTAATATATACTTGCATATATGCATATATATTTACATGTACACACACATATCTAAAGATAGTTTCAGGAGAGGAGCTGTGGCATGGTTCACCTACAACATATCTCATTGGTACGAATGACTTACAGATACAAATGAATAGTACTCTCCAGGAAATCTCACTTCTCTACCTAAAAGGAAAAGGATATTTTTATTTATAATTAAAATATAATTCATTTGGTAGCACGAGGGCTTTCTTTCCCAAATAATTGAGCAATTCTGAGATGTTTTATAAAAGGTCAAGAGAAATCTGCTTCCAGACATGATGAGTAGTAACAAAGTGGATTCCCTCTCTTGTCTCAAACAAAACATGTGCTCCACATTACGGGAAAGGAGCTGGTGCACAGCTTTGTACTTAGCACTCAGGAGGTGTGCCTCTGCGAGTTCTAGGCTAGTCTCGGTTAATAAGACCCTATCTGAAAACCGAAATAATTATGAGGAAGAAGTTTCTCATGATTTGAACGTCGTGTTGTGAAGAATAGTCATTCTTCCCAGGAAGCAGAAAAGGGGGACCAGTAATTATTTTAGCAAATTCTCTGCACAGAGTCCAGAAGTTACACATTATAGGTTAATGTTGAGTGTTTGTGCACGCATGTGTGTGTGTGTGTATTATCTGTACATAGTACATGAGAAAATATTAATTCTTCCTATAACATGACAAATAAAGTAAATTTGCCCAGCTAATGAATTTAAAAGTTTTATATGTGCCTGGGGCATGTGGAGGTCCGAAAAGGATGCTGGGTCCCGTGGAACTAGAGTTACAGAAGGATGGGACCTTTCATGTGAGTGCTGGGAATTGAACCTGGGTCTTCTACAAGAATAAGTGTTCTTAACCACTGAGCTATCTCTCTGGCACCAGCTCATCATTTTCATCTAACAGACAGTTTATCAAAGATGTGAGATATGAGAAAGACGTGAGAGGAAACAAGAAGCTTTGGGGTGCGTTCTAGTAGATATATTCAAATATTCGAATTCTGAAATTTTTTACATGGGTATATGGAGATCCCTTATACACTTTCAATATTTATCGACCAACTGTCTACTAAAACAGCAGCTCTTAATCCTGGCACAGGTGTGTTTCTTGTACAGAAGTTGTGTCTTCCCTTCTACAAGCCCCACGCACTCAGCAACAAAGGAGGTAACCCACCTGGTACAAAACAGAAGGCAGAGGTTCTTGGCTACCAGATTTGGCCTCCACAGGCTCCGCTCCCTCGGGTTTCACTTCAGTAGACTCAGATGTAAAAGGTTTTCCCACAGCAGACTGGCTCACAATAAGTTCAGCCGGAGGAAGTAGACCTCCAGTAGGCCCAAGGGCAGGAGGCCTGACTTCAGCAACAGGACCTACAACAGGCTCAACCTGCGGTAGAGCCTGGGCTACCGCAGGCTCTCCTGAGGCAGCTTTGTTTTCAGCAGACTGGCCTGGAGTGGGTTCTGCTGGTATAAGCTGGGCTGCAGCCACAGACGGTAGTGTAGGGGGTTCGGGTGCCATTGGGTGGCCTGCAGCAGGCTCAGCTACCCCAATAGGTTCAGGAGCAAACTGGGCTGCAGCAGGTTCAGGAGCAGCAGCAAATTGGGCTGGTACAGGCTCAGGTGCAGGAGCTTTGGGTTCGGGAAGTGGTAGGGGTGGTCCAAATTTGACTGCAGTAGGCAAGCCTGAAAGAGTTTTATCCACAGAGAACTCAGGTACCATAGCCTCGCCTACGGGAGGCACTGGCAGCGCTGCGCCAGGCTCTGCTGTAACGGGTGAAGCAGAAATCTTTGGAGGTATGACAAAGGGATATGGCCTGGGAGGAGGGGGTAGGGGAGGAGGGAGAGGAGCCGATACTGTGGGACCATTCATTGAGGTATCCGAGGGATAGTTAGGGTTTTGGAAGGCATAGTGAACTTTAGAAGTTAGAATCCAGGGGAATGGAGATAGCCCTCTTTCAAGCTCAGAATTTCCGTGGAATTTGGTGATGGTATTTCCTTGGTGATTGTCAATAGGAGGGAAAAGAAAAGGTGGCAAATTGTCATTCCATAAGCCATATGGGATATTGAGAGATGGATTAAGTGGGTAGCGATGTCCAAAGTAATCCTAAAGAGAAGAAAAGGAGTTCATTCTAGTTGACTGTCTATACTCCTATTTCAGTTATGGTTGTGTTCATATGTAGGTAATGTTTTTAGAAGAGCACCCACTTAGTCTTCTTTCTTAAAAACTAATCTGCATTCATAATAACTGAAATAAAAATAGTTGGAGAAATTAAACCCAGGATGTAGGAGAATCCCTTTGCAAATGAGTGTTGCATACCGAAGAAGAAGCGCTTTGTGTATAGGCAGTGTATTCCTGCAGAAGGGCGAGGACAGAGAAGAGATAAGTAAGCAAGGCTGACATAGATGCGTGGACTGGTTCTTCCAGCCTTCTGCCCACCATGCTCTTGCTCCATGCCTGCTGCGCTTGGCATGCTCCTTGTCTCTAAATTTTTCCACGGAGGCACTCACTTCCATATTCCTCTTCCAGGGATAGGACACCATGTGTGACCTGTGTATTGGATCTCTCCTGTTTTTATCAATGTCAACTCCTTCAAGGAGTTGTTATCAGAAGAGTGGGCAGGAAAGATGGACACCGAACTTAACTTTTCATATATAATTTCCCCAATACTATCTCTGGTTTTAAATGGGTACTTCAATAAAATTGATCATGAATTTTTCATCAAATTTTCATATTTTCTCTCATGATACGACCTCCAGAAGTTCCTCTGGAGAAACTATATTTGTCTGTCTTATTTGTTCTATATTTGTCTATCCCATTCTGGAAGACAGTCTGGAAGCTCAGGTCACATAATTATGTAAGAATTCACAAAAATAGAAATGTTTGTTACTCATGCATACGTATTTTATGCATGTCATAAATATTTTTATGAGCAGACCACCCATGGTGTACAAATCAAGATCTTAGAATATACATATCCTCTATAGCTGCAGCCAAATTCCAATTCAAACAATTTTGACAAACTAAACTTAATGATTTCATGCCTGGTTGTTTTATTTAGAATCATTTCAAAATGTTTTCCTAATAATAAACTCCCTTTGTACATAGATTCAGTTTTCACATTTTTGAAAGTCCTTCTCAACTGTACTTAATAAGATTATGTTTCATTTTAAAACCTACTCAACATAATAAGTAAGCACAATGGTAGGCAGGATGTCAGTTTGGATATGTATACACACACACACACACACACATATATATTATCATGGGTATGGATAAAATGGTGGGCCATGAGAAGAAAAGAACTGAGCAAATTCCTAAATAAATCCCAATTGCTTCAAGGAAAAACCACAATAAAACTGAATTATTTAACATTATTTGATGGAAAATGATATCTTAAAATATTGTAAGCAGTATATTTTTCTATTTAATTATAGGTAGATGTGAACATACTTTACCTCTTCACTGGGTGAGGGTGATTTCTGAAACAAAGAAAGACTTGTTTTAAACTTGATGTCACTGAAAGAATAAACAACGCTTCAAATCCCTGCTCACAATTGGAGGGGTTGTGAGTAATGAAGTTTTTTGGAATTTTCTTTTTTAAGAGCCATAGACGGTTGACTTATTTTTAGTTTTCTATAACTATATATTATCTTATTGTTGTTAATTTTTCTTTTGAGACAGTATTTGTGCTATGTGGCCTAGGGCTTGGGACTTGATATATAATCCATGCTGATCTCAAAGTCATAGCAATACTCCTAGGTTGGTCTCTTGGGTTCTGAGATCACAGCTATGTACCATAATGACTGACTTTCAGTAAACATTCTGTAAATGCCTATGACACCTGAGAGTACTAGTGTGAAAATAGTCTGAGAGTCAATGAGACAATGGCCCGGGTGGAGAGGGAGGATCCACCATTACTATTCTGCTAAATGGACATAGCAAGAAAGTTACTTTTAATGATATACTACTGTACCCATAGATCAGTTCATTGCTCAGTTGCCACCAGAGTATTTGCTTTTTGCAGCAGATGGCAAGTAATACCAAGACCCAGAACTGGACACCATGCAGACAGTGAGAATCTTCAGATCACTTAGGAGGCAAAGGTTGTAAGAGCCAGAGGTGGTGAATGACTCCAAGGAAACAGTGTCTCCCAGACATAAGACTGATCCACAAATGAACTCACAGAGACTGTGACAGCATGCACAAGAGCTTCACAAATTTCAACCAGACACATTCCGAACACAGAGAAGAGGAAGTGGGTACAAAGTCCCACCCCTAACCAAGAAGCTATTTGCAATTGATAACTTCTGCTAGGGGGGAAAATTGGCTTGATGGAGTAGTTTATCAGTACTACACAGACACTTTGTTTTGTGTGTGTGTGTGTGTGTGTATGCGTGTTCTTTCTTTTGTTATTGCTTAGTGTTTTTTTTTTTTTTTTTTTTGTCTTCTTAATTTTATCTTGTTTTGTTTGCCTGGCTTTATTTTTTTAGCTTTTGGATTTTTTTTTTTTTTGAGAGAGAGAGAGAAAGAAAAGGAAGTTGGGTGGGTAGGGAGGTGGGAGGAATCCGGGAGGACTTGGGAGAGGAGAAAACATATGATCAAAATATATTGTATGAAAAGTTCAAAAGTAACAAAAATGCTATATAAATAAATAAAACTTAAAGAGTCATGTGATATGCACGGCTTAGGATATGGCTCAGTCTGCAAAGCACCTGTTGTACAAGCATGAGGAACAATCTTTTATCTCCAGGGTTCATCCAAAAGCCAGACGTAATAGAGTTGTGCAGAGGGGTAAATATGGCTAGAACACATTGTATGAAACTTGAAACTCTCAAAGGACTAATAAAAAAATAAAGAATATTATACATGTGGAATTATTGTTTACAAAAGCCAGCCACAGAGGTATTAAGCACCTATAATCCCAGTTTGTGGGGTGGGCAGGTGGCACATGAAGATAGGAGGATATCCACAGCTATTGGCCAGCCGGCTTTGCCTAATCCCTGAATGAGTAAGAGACGTGACACTGGCTTGAAATTTAAGGTAGAGAGCAACTGTGTAAGATACCAATGTTGACTTCTGTTCTTCACATATGTGTACACACACACACACACACACACACACACACACACACACACACCACCATACCCATGCACAGCCCCCTATGAACACATGAATACAACCCCCTACCCTCTCAACACCATGGATATTCTAGGATTATGTCTACCCACTTCCAGTGTTTCTAAGCTGCCACTTCACTTCCATAGTCTATCTGAAAACTTTCAAGTACCGGAATCAAAACTTCTTATGTGTTTTCATAACTAGTTCCTTGTTTTCAACAGAGAGTCACATTATATGCTCACTTGTGCTTATTTCAAAATCTTAGCTATGAAATGAGGCTTTCAGCATATTTTCTCAGTCAATGGACTTTTTCAGGGACTTTGAAATATTTAAGCTTTTTCTTGAATAGTATTAGTTCTTTATATTTATGTATTTATATATACACACACACACATATGTACACACAGTATTTGTTTTGTTGTACCCTAGTTGTAGGCACTGGGGACCTAGCTATCACAAAATGTAGCCAGATATTTTTGCAAATGCCTAGAATATTATACCTGCAGCCAGGCAAACTTTCCATTTGAAATTTAATACTGTTTTCCAATTTTAGATTGGTTCTCTAGAATCACCAATCTTAAAGTCTTACAATAGATCATTTTTCCACATTCCCTAAGGTATAAGATGTGCACAAGAAATAACTTCCCAGGACAGGCGCAGTGGCAAAAGTCAATGTTTTTTTTTATTATAGGTTAAAGGACTGCAGGATTTGATGATTGTTAACTTAAAAATCAAAAATAACAAATAAAACTCTTTTACTTTTGAATGTTTTAAAAGTTTTCAGCTCATTTGCTGTAAGTTTAATTGTTTTTATTCAAAAGCACTGACATCCCGGGCCATTTCTTTTGGGGTTTTCTTTGCTACACTTTCTTATTAGCGCATAACACACTGATGGATAAAAACACTTTTCATTGGAGGCAAATATTATAAAAAATAAAGAAACTAAAATAGCATTAAGCCCTTTTGTCTCCTACATGGAATACTTTGTGACTACTTGCTGCACAGAAATCATGCAGCTCCTTGGGGTATGATCATATACCGTTTCTAGTTTCCAATATCTAGATGAAACTCAGTCAGGAATGATGGTAGATGTCTAAAATCCCAACACTTGGTTGCAGCAGGAGAATCAAAATGAAACATCATGGTCAAAGACACAGGGTTTGAGGCTTCCCTGGGCTACATGAGATCTTTTCTCAAATCTCTCTGCTTTAAAAGAAAAAACAACCCATATACAAACAAAATACATAATTGAATAGTTACTTATTATCTCATGTTTTCTGTTCTAATATCTCATGTCATCATTGTCCATCAGTTATATTACTTAAGTACAAATTAACAAATATCATAGATGCATTATGTTAAATCAGGACATAGCAAACTTGTACTACACCATAAAAGGAGAGTATTTCATGCTTCTTGTCATCAGAAATGTAGGCTTGCTAGTAAATATGTTTATCACAAGTATACTTATATTCCATACATTTTGACACCTAACATGAATAAATTAATAAAAAATATTTTAACAGCAATCAAAGTTAATTATATTGCCAAAGATATAGAGAATCTTTAAATATATACTTAATGTAAAACATGTATTTTTATAGAAATGAAAAGGTTTTACCTTATGAATGAAGGGATAGCGCCTCTAAAACAAAGAAAAATATTTTAATGTGGTTATTTAACTGAAAACACCTGCATTCAAACTTTCCCGTTACTGAAGAATTTGCATAACCTTATAATCTTTTCTTAATATGAGTCTGTGGTCTGAATCAAGTAGCTTTGCCATCATAATCGTTATGATGTTTTGGACAGGAAGTGTTAATTTGGCTGAACAGAATCTGGTTTGCAACACTGTCTGTGCAGAGAAATCTTTTCCACATGAAAGGTCATATGACTCTCAACCATACATGTTTTTTCTTTTCTCTTTTACCACCCTGGGGCTGCTGTGTGTGCATGTGTGTGTGCTTGTGTGTGTGTGTGTGTGTGTGTGTGTGTGTAGTAGTAGTAGTAGTAGTAGTAGTAGTAGTAGTAGTAGTAGTAGTAGTAGTAGTAGTAGGTCTATTGACACATTTTGTAGATCTTACAATATTTTCTAGTGAAATTTCATTATGTCTTACAAATTCACCATAGTTAAGGTACCCTGAAGAATAAAACCTAGTGTAGGAAACTCAATATATACTATCTTATGAATTAGAAATTAACTTAGAAACATTTAAAGGACATCATAATAAGCTGAAATTTAGCTAAGAATAATTAGAAGTGTCACATTGTCTGAATTTCTACTCCATCTCAGAAATATTGCTAATCACTTTCAGTAATTATCTTACTTAGTATTCAAAGCAATTACTTGGAGTGGATGTTCCTATTTTCCAAAAGAGAAAATTTAACACACTCGTTTGCTAGTATTATAATGCTTTCAGGTCAGGTATTGGGTGCCCACGCCCTTAGTCGCAGCATCCAGAAGGCAAAGGCAGACAATTCTCTGATTTTGAGGCCAACTTGGTCTCCGTAAGGAGTTCCAAACCAGCTAGGACTGCAGAGTGGAATTTTATGAATGAAAAAAAAAATGATCTAGAGCCTCACTGATTCACATTCCACTCGTGTCCATTTACCTCTGCTCCTCTGAGTCTCCTTTGATTCATATTCGCACCCCTTAGCTGTCTCAGCAATGAGGTTTCACTGCAGGAGAAACCCTGCTAAGATTATCTGTAACGCTTCCTTCTGCCAGCTTCCTGCATGCGATCTCACCTCTTCTTCAAGCTGTTGATATGTCCCACGTTTTAGAACCTATTGTTTTGCTTTTGAAAATTTCCTTTCAGGGATTTTGACAAAAGCCCGATTTGTGTGCGCAGCACGTTTCTCTGACGACATGTATAAACACCGTACTCATTTCACCGTCCGCACGACTTCTCACCAACACGTAGTGGGTGTTTCCGCCCATTGCTGCAGACCTGAGAGTCTCGTTACTTACCCTCTTCGCAAAAGCGACACATATGATACAGGCCCAGAGAAGTAACTTCATTTTCATTGACCCTGTGAACACAAAGATTTGTTTTTCAGAAAGTATACAGAAGGTTTTAAATTACTTCTCTCGGAGGGAAACAGGTGTCGTGTGGGTTTACTTGTCTGACAGGGAAGTCGCTGACCAGAAAGGATGTCCTGCTACTTAACTACTCTCAGCATGGTTTAATGGGGGTGGCACTGAAGCCCATTCATTTTCTTTTTTCACTTCTCACTGATTAATCAATTTCTAACTCAATTTTCTTTATGTGGAAGTAAATTCACTTTGTTACTCAAGGGCATCTTTTGCAATTAATCTGTTTTGGAGGATATATCAGGAAACAGAATCTCTTTAAAGTAGTAACTCTGTGGGGTGTTTTTTAAGACTTAGCATCTATTGACTCAATGGGAGACTGCTATCATCTACCTAGAAAAGTTCTCATTTTCAATGATTTGTTTTTTTTGCTATTGGCCTATTAGACCTCTATTTATCTCATATTTTATGTCCCCTAAGAATAATGGAGTATTCATATATGTAGGTGTATGTCTTGACTTTGTGTTTTATGGGAGGAGGGCACAGCAACATTAAATCTCCAGTTGCTTTATTCTTAAGGTTTATAGCTCTTCCCTTCAAAAAACATGAGACTCCATTCTTACAAAAACATCTCCACACCAAGACAATATTTCAGCATCAATCTGAGTTCCCAAATGTGAAAAAATAGAAGTATCCAAACTGATATGCTTTATCAAGAATGATATTAAACCCTTGATCTATTTGAAATAAATATTTAAATGATCAATATATCTAAGGTGTATTTAAAAGCTGCTCATAGTTACATATTAACTATTCATACTGGTTTCCATAATCTTTATTTATTTCCTATAACCTATAATTTTTGTGGTATTTGCACCAATTTTATGATATGTATAGTCTAATAATGTGAGGGAATTCCAAGTTTGTAAGATGAGACCATGTACAGTTGCTACTGAATCTTTAAGAAAGTATAGTTTGTAGAGCTATGTTTGCAGAAAAAGTCCTGGAAGAAATACCCAGTGTCAATGTCTTGCTTTTTTTTCCAACGTTGCTCAGCTGCTTACATGTTCAGGATATTTTGGGCCACGTGTTGCATGACTTCTGTTGTGATCCTTGGGTGGCACACTGGGTTTTTATTAAGACATTAAAAGAATAATAGATATAATGCTGTCTAAAAATTATAATATATGGTAAGTATTTTTGTCATTCTGTTTACACATGAGCAGCATTAGAGAATTATGAAAAAATACTTAGAGGTATTTCTTGAGTTATTATTTTAATTATTTTAATGGCTTAGAAAATATATATATGCTGTTGTTCTTCACTGGAAATTTTGGAATTCACTGTGCCCACATTCAGAGTTCTAGAAGGTGTGTGGGACCTCCTTTTGAAATGATTCCTGCATTTCTGAATTTATTTTATTTTCTTCTACCATGTTTACATTCCTTTCCAGAATAATGATGCCTACCTTTGTTAAGGACTAAATCCCTTTAGAAGAGTCCATATGGTAACCAAACAGAAAAAGTGATGTTAGGTAGTTAAGTGGATCTTCCTAAAATTATAAAATTATGTCAGATTTCATTGGGGTGCATATTAACACGTTCAGTTTATCTTAGAGTTAGGCATAATTAGTATGTTATTAACATGACTTAATGGTTGGCTATATAAATTGAGTTTACATGGTCATGGTTGCCTTTGCAAGACCTCCAAAAGAGTAAACAAATTAGCCTTCTAGCATGCCAGAGGGTAGGTTAACAAGCTCCCATTCTTAAGAGATATTGACAAGTGATTACCTCTGGGAGGAGAGCCAGTTTTATTTTTATAAGTGTATGGCCTTTGCCAGGTAGATCACAGTCCCATGGATGGCCCCACACTCATGGATATATGGACAACATAAACAGAATTCTGTTTATAAACCAGAGTCCAATTTGCTGAGAGAGGACATAGACGGTTGGGGTGAATCTGGGAGAAGTTAGGGAAGTGACTGGAGGGTGAATATAATGAAAATAAATTGTATGCATACATGAAAGTCTCACAGACTTAAAATATGCTTAGGCAATGTGGATTTCCTACTGTGAACAAACATTAGAAACAGAAAGAACTCTACTATAGTATAAACTTATTGACAATATACTATCTCTTATAAAGTGTTATGTAAAATAACAAATGATATAATACATCATACTGTCTAGACGCTCTTTAGTCATACATCTGAGCAATATGAGTCAGCTGTTGGATGCTTGTTTGGATCCTTAAAATAGCTGTAGTATTTTTCAGGAGTGAGTGAAAGTCATTTTGTAAGTATCACGTGGCTGCTCATATATGAGAATAATACAACTCTCTACTGTAATGATCTCCCAGAAGAAAATATATGGCTATGTACCAGCATAAACATATTTATTTCACCAGTGGACTATAACATATATTAGACACACAAAAAATTAAAACTGCATAAAATCAAGAAAAATGTCGGAAAATTATAAAAATACTGCAATCAGTTGTCAGCATAGATTTTTGAACTCTCAAATCCAGTGCTTAACTGTAATAGCTTCAAGATTTTGGTGGTAAAGGCAGAAAAGATGAATGCTCACAGGGGAAATTTTGGCAAAGAGCTAAAAGCTATTTGAAAGAACAAAATGTAGATGCCAGGAATCAAAGATTCAGTAATGGATAAATGGAATGTTTTTAAATAGTTGTTGCAAAGCTTCCCAGGAAAATATCCAAAAACCTAAAGATATTCCATAGAGAAATTACCAACATGAAACCCTGCCTAAACAGTAAATGTCTAAACACATTTGTAGTTGCAACCACAGGAGAATCAAAGAGAAACCAAGACAGTGCAGTTAAATAAAAAAATGACCACGAGTCTTCCAAAATTGACAGACACTGAAAGTAAGGATGCACAGAATACAGAACAGCAAACACACGTGAACACATATATACACATGCGCACACACACATACACACACACACACACACACACAGAGAGAGAGAGAGAGAGAAAGAGAGAGAGAGAGAGAGAGAGAAAACAGAACACAAAACAAAGATATTTGATCACAGACTTGTTAGACATAATGTAAAAAAGAAGAAAAGAGAAACGAAACCCCCAAAAGAACCAAAGAAATTGTGCTAAGATGTAATTATAGTTCTTAAAGAGCCAAGTATTAGAGCTGAGACTTGGAACTTTTAGCTTAAATCCACAGCTTGAGACAGGTCCACTCCTCACTGCAATTCTGTCTGGGACACAGTTAGATGCTGTCTACTTAACAGCTCCCAGGCTAGGGTTCCTTGCACCTCCATGCTTCTTGTCATGCATGCTATGCCAAACTTAATCACTGATGGAAAACTTCTTGTTTCCCTAAATGGTTATAGAAATCCACACTGTCCTGGTGATGCTTTGAGACTCCCTGGGAGGATTTGCTGTATTGGTTGCTCTGAAAGCTGATGTCTGAAAAGACTCCTCTGGCTTCTTTGCTCAGTCCCTCTATGGAGGCTTTTTTTTTTTTTTTTTTTTTTTTCTGTCTCCAGTCCTCCCTTCCTCCCTTCCTCTGACTCTTTTTGAAACTCCCCTCTGGGCTGTAAAGGGAAGTCTCTCCCTTGCCCGGATCTTATTTTGCAGCCATTCTCCTTATTTTCTGGCTCTTACATTCTTTATGCCTCCTCTTCTGCAATGTCCCCAGAGCTTTGCAGAGGGTGATTGTTTACAGCTGAATAGTCAGTCATATGTCCCCCATTCTCTGTATCTTGTTCGGCCACAATCCTTTGCATCTTTGCATACATTTTTGTTTATGGGAAGAGGGATTTTTTTTTATTAAGGCCTATAGTGGCAATTGTTTATGACTTTAAGCAAATATATTTGGCAGGCAGTTGGACACCATGCAATTTAAATAAACAACAGAATAAAGCCCTGATCTCATGTCCTAATCTCATGCCCTTCCTTTCAGGAGAGGTGGGTGTCTCCATATCAGTAGTGCCACCATAGCACGAGTGGGCACACAGGATATACAGACCATTGATAGCCTGTCTCCCCAGCAGCCTGAATAGAATTTTCTGGGATCATAAAAACTGCCCTGTAGAGAACAATTTTCTTGCTGAGTTCCAGCTCACTTCCTCTGTCTTGCAATTCTGAGGTGTGTGATATCAACAACAATAGGTCTTATCATCTAGTTTTGGGGTAACCGAGTGGAATGGCAAGAACATATTTTTAGAGGTCTCCCCCACCAACATCATGTTTTAATTAATTTTCAGTTAAAAATACTGACTGATGGTAAATAATTTTTTGGCAGGCTTAATTCTAAAGGTATGTTAGTAATTCAACTCCCTTTTTCAGGAAAGCCAGGCTTTGCATTTTTTATTCTGTTAGATTCACTTTATCTTAGATTTCCATGTCATCTTAATTCTTTGTAAATTGTCATCTTAATTCAGTGTAAATTCTATTTACAATTAATAATAATCACTGTTAATGGTTAAACATTGCATTCTTAGGCCCACTAGGATACATAAATTCCATTGTCCTAAAACTTTCTTTGAGTGGGTTCTGTGCACTCAGCTCTTTTCCTTTCCCATAATATTTAGCAACCACTCAATAACTTTTCAAACTCATATTTTTGGTTCTTTTCCTTTCATTTTTGTCATACTCTTTTTTATTTCCATCTCCCAACTTTCCTTTTCATCTTTATTCTCATCTCCCCTTCTGCCTTTTATTTCGTTAGTCATTCAATGATTATCCAGCATTATTATAGGTCCTGGAGATTTATATGATAAATACAATAATGTACATAAAAAATACAGGAAAAAAAGTTATGTGGGGTCACTTGGCATTCACTGTTCCAACCACTGCTTATCAATACAGAAAAGCTGTATTTAAACTTGGTTTCTGTTATTTCAAAGTGGAATGTTAAAAATGTGCAATACTGAACCCATTGCTATGAGACTCAACACTGGAGAAAACGTATAAGAAAGCATGGGAGACAAACTCTTCCTTTTGGTACAAGCTCATTTTCCACAAACGGTGGATTCTAGAAGACTGATGAACCGGGACATATCTTGTTACTTCTAGTCATAGAAATATGGTTCCTTTTTACCTGTGAGTTACTGCTAAATTTTGAAAATGTCAGAAGGTTTCATTAAAAGGTAAATGCTCTGAAAAGGTATCAGATTTTATGAATGTGAAATACATGGCTGCATGTTTGTAATATGTTTTATGTTTTAATTATTTTCTAAATCTCCAGTGGTGTCACCAAATGAAGAAAGAACAAGTAAGGAAAAATTATATCAATCCGACTATGTCACAGAGGTCATCGTGAATCTGGACTCTGAAAACTCTTAAAGCTACTTAAAATGACAAAGGGAGACATAAGTGGTTGCTTTGTTACAGTTTGGCCTGTTATAGTAAAATATTGGTTTCAAAATGTCTGAAGTAATGGAAAGAAATGATGCTTATTCCTTAATTTTATATTATAGTTATATACTAATATATATATATATATCTGCTATATATATATATATATCAGAAATTGTAGGAAGATATTCAGGAGACAATTATGTGTATAGTTGGAGTGTTGGCAGCACATTTGAAATGAATTTAGAGAATTGGAACCTACATTTTAATCAGCAAATCATCAGTGTAAATTTAAATGATTGAGTGAAGCAGATTGTAAGGAAAACATGCATGTAAAGTTAGGAAATATGTAGCTGAGCTGAAAGCCCTAGAAAACACTAATCTTGTGTAGATAATAGGAATAAACAAAATATACCTTGGTGAAAAATTATTAGACAGTATATTATGACAAGAACTATGTGGCGTAGTGCTCTTGCAAGAAGCATTTCATTTCTGATACGAATTTATCACCATTGAGCTACAAATATCAGTAGCTATATTACTAATAAATTAGTAATAAATTTTAATAATTTTGGGGGCTGGAGAGATGGCTCAGAGGTTAAGAACACTGACTGTTCTTCTAGAGGTCCTGAGTTCAATTCCCAGCAACCACATGGTGGCTCACAACCATCTGTAATGAGATCTGGTGCCCTCTTCTGGCATGCAGGCAAACATGCAAGTAGAACACTATGTACACAATAAATAAATAAGATCTAAAAAAAAATTTAATAATTTTAAGATTAGTTCAGAGAATATATAAAGTAACTTAAAAACTAATAATGTCTGGCTAATTTTGGGTAAGAAAGTTATTACTTTTGATAAAACATTCCTTCACATGTATAGAAAATTTGGGGAATAAAAAAATGAAGAGAATTACTAGCTTTAAAGTAAAGAAAGATCATATACCCTTAGAAACCTGAGGGGAGAGTTGAAATTATTTTCAGATTGAAATCAAGTTATCAGCATATTACACCAAGGTTAAAATACAGTTATCAATGTATCAAGAAGTGCGTTGTGTTTATATTCCATGGATTCAATATTGACAAACAGAAACTGAAGTATTTTTGAAGTTTAAGGTAATTACAGTAAGACTGCTACCTTGAATTCTGGCAAGAAAATGATATAACGAGATGTTCTTGGTAACCAACAAAGTTAAGAAAATGAACTTACTTTGAGACTCAGCTGCTCAGAGTGAACGGAAGTAAGCATTCGTTTTAGTTTTACATGGCCAGATATTGTCCAGGAAGAGTTGCTCCAGTGTAGAAAGGCAGAAGATTTGTATCAACTATGAGGATATTTTCAATTATCAAGGATGAAGTCTGGGAGAAGTGAGGCCACCAGAGAGTGTCGCGGGCAGAATGTAGCATCATCAGATTGCTAAGGAATGAAAGTTCTAGGAGGACAAAGAAGAGTTCTCATAGATTCTAACTGCTCTATTTTTTTTTTAAATACAGGTCAAGTCACCCTTTTCAGCAAAACTGTTGAACCTTTAGACTGTATAGGAGAGGAGCTTGGGCTAAGAGAGCATGATAGACTGGACAGCTAAACAAGTAAAGTTTATGGTGTCAAAGAAACAGACTTTGCCCCTGGTCTTTGAATCAAAAACACCCTGCAGTGTTACCTACAAAACCCATCTAACGCTTCCCCTATAACTAAATATGAAAAACAGATTTCCAAACTGAAATAAACACCATCCTTCTTTCCCTTTGTCTACTTCTTAATCCTTTTCCCATTCCTCTACCATCTCTGGAAATACTGATGCACGCAGTTGCTCACTGCAGCTCACACAGGCACTGGCTGTATTCTTGTCATTCTGTCATTTGAGAACACATGTAGAGGGACTATGTTTTAGCTGAAGTGCCAAGGTATCGCCACCTTGTCCTAACTATTTCATGATTGTGTAGACAGCTCTCAGCCTTTTATACCCCCAACAATCACGTTGGCCTTGGCAACACAATTGAAATTTTCAAACCCTGACCATGATTCAGATGTGTTAACACGATTAATTAAGTATAAGAAGGTACAAGTAAAATATAATCATCGTATTATGTCTGAAGTTACTACTTTGTTCTGTCAAAAATAAATGTTGCAAGGTTTCTCTACTCTGACCTTCATTTAGCATTTATGTAATTGTGTTTTGTCTTTTAAAAATGCAATGTCCCTGAGCTTTAACTCAGGGCTAATACCTGAGCTGATGCCTTTGCCTGCTCTTCATCACTAGCCAACGATAAAAATTTTATAAACTCTTAACCAACATAATTGTTTGTCCCTTTCTCATATAGATTATTTCACAAGCTGAATTAGGTTCTCAGTGTCTGATTTCTTTTCTGTGACTGTTGAATTGGAGGGAACATGTAGGGATTTGGTGAGGCTTTGGGATTAATGCTGTGGCAAACTGTAAGCAGAAATAGGCAGAGAGAGGGTAAAGTAATGGTTTAATAGAACCATGATCCTGTGGTCTTTGGAGTTATGATCTAATTGTTGAAGAACTTTATATTCCTGCCACTAATCTTCTGGATCAATATAAGTAACACAAATAACAATCACACACAAAAGAATGCACTTGAAGTTTTATTTTTTGAAAGGCAATGTAGTTCGGTGGTTTAGGGACAGTGGTGAAAGCATGGTTAATCGTCTCCAACTCTGCTGAGATGAAACTCACTTATAGACCCAACATAAGCAAACAAGAATAGAAGCCATTCAGAAATGGCTTTGCAGTCTTCCTTCAGCTCAGCATTTCTGTCTCATTCATACATTTGTCCCAATATACTGGTTTTGAGAAGTAATTATAATAGAAAAGAGGGTGGAGATGTGGATTTTCCACTCAAACCTGTTAAAAAAGACAAAAATGGATTTATGCTTATTATCCAAAAGATAATGCTTATTTCTATATAAGATACAGATATATGTCACAATTCTAGTTTAGGAGGATTTTAGTATTTATAACTAATATTAGTATTTGCCTACATCCCAAATGATGTCTAATACATCAATATTTAAGAATTATTTGCATTTATGCTTAATGGAAAGTACAGAGAGGCTTTTTTATAACTTTGAAAAAATTAATGATTGATAGTTAATAATTAATTTGTTCAATCTAGCATGCACTTATTAAATGATGCAATTTGCCTTTGGATTAAATTTTGAAGCAATGTTTTAATTATTTCATAGTACTAGGCATATGAAATTTTACCAGTAATATTCAATCTAATTTTTCATTGAAGTTGAACATACATTACTTAAAATTACTAAGGACATATTCATTTCAAAAAAATCTTATTTAAATTACCACTTAAGTTATAGGCACACTTATAAAAATAAGATAGATGCACTTAATTCAAGTGTCTTAAAAATAAAATTCAGAATATAAAGGCATAACACATTATATTGCCATATTTTTGAAAATAAATGAAGCAAATTTATTCTCATCTCCATGGAAATATTTGCAATATTCTAGTTTTTGCCATCTTCTATACAAACATCACATATAAAACTTTTATCTAAGTAAAATATCTTTAAATGCTACATATATGACAAAGACCGCAATAAAATGATGTCACTGTTCATATCTAATGTGGTCAGCCATTTGTATCCGATCTTCAGACAGAAATCACATGTTGTTAATTTTAAGCCTGTTTGCTGGTTTCAGTGCCCTGTTTATTCCTTATGTTAGTGAATGTATTTCTATTGTGGAGTTTTTTTTTTTTTTTTAATCAAGTCAACCAAAGCTCATTTAAGCTACTGTTAGGATTTCAGGTGCTTTAAAATGCACAAACCTGTTGATTCAACAATTAAAAAGGTGTTGGTTAACATTTATTAGAGACCAAAAAAAGGATAATTTTAATTCCAGAAAATTAGCTTCTTTATATGATTTATAGTTTTTTTTTTGCATTAGTGAAATTTCATTTCAGTTCATTTCAGGTTCTTTACTTGAAAAAAAATATGAAATGTTCTCTTTCACTCCTTTATCTTACTTTTGCTAAAAATTTAACTAAGCTTCATATTGAAAATGAGCATGCATTCTCACCAGGCTGGGGGTATATGGATAATAGCTCCGTAGGTTCATAGTTTTCTGATACTGATGAAGCAGCTGCACAAACTGAGGCCAGGTGATCGTGCTGCATGGTTTCACTTTGTTCTAAGAAGAACACAGGTGATTATTATCCCAGTATCTCATGTTTCAGAAAAGACCTGGACTTACCGAAGGAATAAAGATCTCATGTGGATAAATTCTTGATGGCAGGAGAAAGACTGTTTACTCAAACAAAAGTATCTCAGAGAGTGCACTCTCAGAGGAACCGTAGAGTGTAGACAGCCTGTGGTCAATTCAGACCCAAATGCTAAGAAACTGAAGGGAAAGAGCCAAAAAGAAGTGAAAAGGAAGCAGGTACAAGAGCAGGAAAACAATTTGTTAATTACTAAGGTAGGTGTTTTAGCCCAGTGTCTTTCCCAGGTGTGTAGGAAAACCCTTAACCAAGCTCCTTTGTCTCTGTATATTAGCTGTCTGGCAGACGTAGATGAGTTAACACGGAGGAAACAGGCTGCACGGGGCATCCACACAACTCATGACAGTGTTTGCATGCTCTGTTTGGAATCGTCTCTGGATCTGGCCATGGACTGATTCTTTTATAGGGATTAAAGCTCCCATTAAGCTCAGTAGCATCTTCCTCTAGGATGAGTTCCCCTTAACAAAACGCACTTATTTAGTTATGGATTTATTTGTGTGTGTGTCTCTGTGTGTGTGTGCTTGCAAAAATCAGAAGACAGCTTGTGGGAACTGGTTTTCATTTCTATCACAAGATTTCTAGGGAGTGAAAGACTATGTGGTGAGAGCCTTTACCTGCCGAACCATCTTTCTAGCCCTTCAGGTTTTATAAAGACATCAATGTGATGTTGAGAATTACCACGAACTGCTTGTTGGCTGGGTGCTGTTTGGAAACGAATCGATATCCTGAGAGCCAGCTCTGTAGCAGCCTTCACAGGACACGAGGAAGACTTTTATAGACGTTATCCTGAGTGTGAGGAGTGGAGTTGCAGGGGTGGGGGAGGACTGGAGCAGGAGGATTGACTTGAGCTCGACTCTAGCTTGGGGTACCTAGTAAATTCCAAGACTCCTTTGTCTCCTTCTCAAAAACAAACAAAACTCCCCTCAAAATTCACCACCAACAAAAAAAACTCAGCTTTCCCTAGAAGTTTCTTTTAGTCACTAGAATTTCAGCAGTGTCCAGGAGTGAGAGTGTGTTAAAATGATTGTATGGAAAGTTTACCATGCAGTCTTGAATGGTCTGTTCTTCGTCAGTCATCACAGTTTTCTGTGAAGAAGAAAGATAGTTGTTTGAAATGCAAAAGAAAATGTTCTGGAAAGGTATATAGCTAACTGAATCAAAAATACTTCACCTCAGTTGATTCCTTAGGGGCTGGGATGTGCTACACTTGGATAATCTACTGACAAATTTGTCTATATCATTTCAAACAATTCAAGGCCATATTCCTACTTTGAAAAGGCACATTTTCCAGGAATGTATGACTTCAAATCTTATCAGACTATGGTCTCTCAGTGAAATAGTGAACTGAAAATATGTACTACTCCAACTTCAGATTCTGAATTTATCTTCCTTGTTCTTCCCATTTTCACAAAGGGTGAAGAGGACACCACTGGCTCTGCTGAGGTGTCTGGCAGTCCTCAGGCCTTTTCTTGGAAGACCACTGTTTTATTAGAAGCCTTGAGATCTAGGTTAGCAATGTGCAGAGGAAGTACACTTGCCAGGCACTGAAGAGGAAGACTGCAGGCTATGTCTCAAGCCACTAGGCTCACATCCAGCTGCATCTTCTCCCTGGACACCCTGTCCCCAGGCGTGCTCACCTGTTTGTCTAATTCTGCACGATCAGGCATTTCTTTCATGTCTGGTTTATATCATCTTTGGTTCAGTTCAGAAAACAGGATTATAAAGTCAGAAGAGAAGGCCCTTTGTTAATTATAGTCAAGGGGAGTGAAAATCCCAGTCTTGCTTTGGTTCATTTTAAAAGTGCCTAGTTCCGTGGACCCAAAAATTCAGCTATACGCATTTGAGAGAGTGGGGAGGATGAATGGCCTAGGCCAGCAATTCATTTCGTTGCATGTGCCTAATTCTTACAAGAGTTTATTTATTTCTACTGGATTCCATGAGGGAAGGAGAGAGGTTAATTTAGTTGTAGCACACTTGCCTAATACACACACAAACAGACGCACAGACACAGACATAGACACATACATTTTGTTGGATATTTTGTTAAAATTAACAACACCTCATTTGAATAGAATAGTCATCCAATAGCAAGAAAAAGCAGTATTTCTCAACAAGTATCTGGTTATTTGGTATTTAAAGGTACTGATTGACTTTCTAGTTGAAAAACGAGAAGATTTCCTGAGAAGTAAAAATAGTAATCATAATATTAAGGAATCACTGAGGGCTACTGAATTCTTTTAGGTATGTTCTCAGTATTTGTGGAATTAAAGATCTTTTTCACATGACACGGGCAACAGTTTAAGAATGACAGAGACTAATTCCAGTAAAGCTTGGAAAAGGAGCAAAATTTTGATTTAAACAAAGAAAAAGAGAAAGAAACTGAGGAAACTGTAAAACTTAGTGTCTGGGATAGGAAGCTTACATGAGAGGTCTTAACCAGGAAGACTTCAGCTCAGTTGAAATATTCAGAATTAAGGGGCTTAGAAAAATTTCATGAATGTTTTAGTTATCTGTTGGAAACATGCACCAAATGCAGATCAAATTAAACCAATGCATTAACCTATCAACAGTCATCTTTAGGGTTTCTTTAGAGAAATAAATAAAAATTAAACACATTATTCTCACTGTGCTGACTGTACGTAATTTCCTTTCTCTCTATATAGAAATTTCCAATAATGACTTAATAAAGAGAAATGTAAATTAATTTGTAGTACTTTTAAAGTCACAGTTGTATATGTCCTCCAAATATGAAAGTATGTAAGGGGCAGAATATTTGCTAGATATGTATTTTAAGACAAATAGATAATAATAAATGAGTGAATGATTCCCTAGGGTTAATTTAAGTAATAAAGAAAGTAATTTATTTAATAAACTAAATATTTATATGTTTATGTTGCGTGTAGAAACATATACCTAAATTGTAGAGCGGAGTGAAATCCCCAGAATTTGTCAGAAAGCAGAAAGTAAGGGACTGTAGGGTGTTCAGCCCTAAATAAAACATCTATATTATCTCCATCTCCAAGTAGTTCAGGGAACATTGCAGAAGAGGGAGCAGAAATTTTGTAAGATCCAGAGGCCAGGGAGAATTTCTGTAAAACGATGTCTTCTAGATACGACAGGGATGCTATAACCACAAACCAACAGCAGCTGTGGCTACTTGCACAAGGCTTGCGCAAGATCAAGGTTACCAACACCTGAGCAGGAAGGGAAGAAGGCCACACCCCAAGCTGAACAGTTAAGGTGGCTGTTGGGAGAAGTCAGTTTTCTTTAGTCATGTAGTCACTGGTGCTTACTATGTTTCTGCAAATGGTCTTACACCGTGTACACAAGGAAGCCCTAATCAGACTCATTGGGTTATCAGCATACATGCAAAACATAAGGATGTGAAATTTGTAGATATGAAGGAAGGGTCTGAGAGTAGAAGGGAGAGGATTGAGGAATAGATTTATCAATGTACACTCTATACATGTATGATATTCCTGAAGAATACAAACATTTAAAAAATGTTGGTCTCAAATTAAGGTTACTCTATCCTTTAGAATTTATATCCTGTCTTAATTAGACTTGCTATCGCTACTGAAAAACACCAGGAGCAAAACCAAATAGGGAAGGAAAGGGTTCATTTCATCTTCTAGCTTATAAATCCTTTCCTGGGAGAAGTCAGGCAGGAATTCAGGGAAGGAACCTAGAGGCAGGAACTGACTTAGAGATTATGCAAGAATGTTGCTTACTAGTTTGTTCTTTATGTCTTACTCAGCCTCTCTCTTATAGAAGCCAGGACCTCCAGTCCAGGGATGGCATGACTCACAGTAGTCTAGGCCTTCTCCATCAATCAGTAATTAAGAAAATGTTCAAAAGATTGCGAACCTAATGGGACATTATTTTTTCAGTTGAGGCTCTCTTAGAATGACTCTAAGTTGTACATTACCAATGAAACAATAGGAGATAAATATTACCTCTCTGGCTTGCATACGCATGTCCATTTTCTGGTTGTGTTGCTACAAAATAAATAATATTTTCTGTATAAAAATGTAATAATGACATAAAACTAGTCATTATTGGAAATTTATGTATACATATGAAATTATGTACAATCAGCACAATGAGAATAATGTGTTTAATCCTTATTTATTTCTTTAAAGAAACCCTAACTACGAGTACCCGTTTTGATAATCTTGCAAACAAATGACTATAGAAAGTCATGGACTAATCACAAGAAATTATTCCAGTTATGCCTAACTTTATGGTGTGGTTCACAGAAGATTACAACTGTGTCTCACTGAGACCTTCACATGTATTCATAATATGTAAATAGATGAACCACCATTTTTCATAATCTTAGGTTTTCAAAACTGTGAAACTGTTAAAACACACATGCATTTACATTGTATATTATTTCAATGAAGCAATAAAAAATAAATATTACCTCTCTGGCTTGCATATTCATGTCCATTTTCTGGTTATATTGCTACAAAGTAAATAACATTATTTATAAAAATGTGAGCCGTGAAAACAAAATAGACAGAATTTTCTAATTATAATGGATATGATGATTTTGACTTACTTGCTGAGAAAGGATGTCAGATTCCTTTAAAATGAAAGAATAGTTTTTAATTATTTTTTTTTGTCTTGTTTTTTTGGTTTTGGTTTTTCGAGACAAGGTTTCTCTGTGGTTTTGGAGCCTGTCCTGGAACTAGCTCTTGTAGACCAGGCTGGTCTCGAACTCACAGAGATCTGCCTGCCTCTGCCTCCCAAGTGCTGGGATTAAAGGCGTGCACCACCACCGCCCGGCTTTTTAATTATTTTTTTTGAGTGTTAAAGTTTAGCTATTTGTTGCCTGGCACTAAAATGTCTCTATCATCTGTGATATGTGGCGAGCATTTGAATGACAGCACTTTCTGTGGATATAAATGAGCTAGACTTCAAGCTGGGCGGTGGTGGCGCACGCCTTTAATCCCAGCACTCGGGAGGCAGAGGCAGGCGGATCTCTGTGAGTTCAAGACCAGCCTGGTCTACAGAGCTAGTGCCAGGACAGGCTCCAAAGCCACAGAAGAAACCCTGTCTCGATAAACCAACCCCCCACCCCAAAAAAATGAGCTAGAGTTCAAATCCAGGGTAAGCCGCTGGCCTCCTCTCACCCGGGTTTGACATCCCATATGTGTGCTATATTCCTTGTTATAGTCGAAGTATTTTGATACATGTCTTTATAAAAGAAGAAATGATATTAGGAGTTTGGCAGTGTCTGCTAGTTCAAGTCTACTTTTTGATCTCCTAAAAGTTTACATTGGTGGCCTGATATTATCCTATGTTTCTTACAAGCCTGTTATTTAAATTCTGTGGATTCTTTAATTTGTATATAGTATTTATAAATGAGGATGAGAGCATCTACTACTGTATGTGACATATTGCTATACACATGCTTATTGACTATAAAATAGATAAAATGTACATTCGTTTAAGGTGTATCTCATCAATAAAACAATAAAAAGTTACAGTATAACGTTTTCTATAATAAAATGCTTTACCTCTCTAGCTGAGACCTATTCTCTATTCTCCATGGAAAATAAAGGAAAAGGTTTTAATTTTATGTTCTGTTTGAAGGACAACAAAGACTCATCCTTTATTCTTAATGAAACAAGAAACTGGGCTACCACTGCCTTATAGTTCCTCAAATCATGATTCTCCTACTAAATGAGGACAATGGCTTCTAATTTCCCCTACTGTAAAGAATGTTTAGGAAACCAATTACAAGGAAATATGACAAAATTCTGAGGGCACACACAGAAAATTTAAGTGAAATTTCTCATTATTGCTATTACTGACATTATTGTTTTATTAAGACTATACAGTAAGTTTGTTTACAACTTAATTTCTTTTTTCTTTTATTGCAAATCAATTTCCCCCCTTAAATAACATATCCAGATTCTGGTTTCTCTCCCTCTTCTCCTCTCATTTTCATCATTGTCTTTCTTGCTAAAATACAATTTGGGACCTACCTTTCAACACCAATTACTTTATGCATTTTAATACTTTACTTTTTGCTTCCCCAACACAGAACTTACCAGAGCGTGAGGGAAGGGGAAGGCAGTATTCACAACGTAACCCCATGGATTCCTAGCAATGTGATATTGGTAAAGATCCTTGAGGGCTTGAGGTGCTTTGAACTTCTGACTAGATTGGTAGCATTTGTTCTAGAGAGAGGGAAACATTAAAAAAATAAGACAGAATAGAGATGTCAGAAGGAAACAAAATACATAATTAGGAAGAAATTGAAAATTGTACAGGAGAAAAAGAATATATTTTATTTTTTGTATGTTTTTTTGTTGCTTGAAAGCTCGTTGCTTCAGTAAGTAAAGAATAAATTGATTATCTGGGCTATAAATTCATTATTTAGAGAGTGAAACTTTCATCACTTTGCTCTAAAATTCAGGCAAATGTGTTATCTTCCCATTGACTGATGTGTATGAACTGAATATAAATAAGTGGTATATAAAGTCTGGTCTTTTGTACTCATAATAATGTGGGTTTCTTTTATCTCTCTCTCTCTCTCTCTCTCTCTCTCTCTCTCTCTCTCTCTCTCTCTGTCTCTCTCTCTCTCTCTCTTCCTCAATCTCTCTCTCTCTTCCTCTCTGTCTCTGTCTCTCTCTCTTCCTCTCTGTCTCTCTCTTCCTCAATCTCTCTGTCTCTCTCTCTGTCTCTCTCTCTGTCTCTCTCTCTGTCTCTGTCTCTCTCTCTCTTCCTCTAGTCCATAACATCCATCTCCCAGGAATTTGCAAGGTATAGTTTTTTTTTCACCTTACATTTTATCAAAATTATAAAGTAAAATTTTATTTATTAAAAGTTTAATCAAGAGATGGATATAGCCATTTTCATAGTCCAGTAAAACTTGATCATTTTAACCTTTTAAATTTGATAAATACTTGTTTATTGAAGCTGTTTTATTTTCTCTTAATAAAAATGAGCATTTTATTTATAATGGAGAAAAGAAATACTTTCATTGTTTTACCAAAACTGTAGAGTCTACAATAAAAAGCCTCAGAAATTGATATATCACAGTACATTTGTTTTCTGTTTAGAACACCACATTTAAAGCACTTAGTTTGGAATGTAATAGTCAAATATTTAGTAGATCACCTTCCAAATACCCAAAGTGGCAGCTCCAGGAGGCAATAATATTTTTTCTTAACCAAAACCAAACAAACAGAAAACAAAAGCAAAAGTATATATTTATTTACTTTGAGAATTTGTCTGAGTTTGCATGTACATACGTATGTATGTATGCCACTTTGTACATGCAGCCTTCAACCCTACATTCTAGTATCTTTGGTGTGGGAAAATACTCTGCATGCTACCAAAGGAGAAATGTAAACAGCAATCCAGAAACTAAACCTTTAACCTACAATCTCTCCTCCATGCAAGATATGCTAGAGCAAGGACGGCACAGAACTTGTGGGGGCAGCAAATCAATATCTGACTTGATTTAAGGCCTGGTCTACGAGATGGAACCCATACCTGACACTGCCTGAGTGACCATGAACCAGAGACCAGATAGACTACAGACTTAGGGTCAAATCAAATACCACTGGACTTTTTAAAAGTATGAATAAAATGACTCCTAATGATATTCTGCTATACTCATAGATCAATGTCTTATTCAGCCATCATCAGAGAAACTTCTCCTGTGGCAGATGAGAACAAATAGAAAGACACACATATTATGCAGAAGGAAAGAGAGAGAAAAGAAAGAAGTAATATGTATATATATATATGTATATATGTATATATATGTGTGTGTATACATATGTATGTATGTGTGTGTATCTAGCTATCTATATCTATAGATAGAGAGGGCAGAATTGGAATACTCAGTTCTATATGGCATGTCTCCATCAAATCCCTACCCTCAGAGCTCAGGAAACCATGTGGAAGAGGAGAGAGAAAGAATCTAAGAGATAGGGGGATAGAGAACAACAGGAGAACAAGGTCTCCAAATCAGCTGAGCAAGGTTATGAACTCAGAGACCAAAGAAGCAAACAAACGACCTGCCCGGATCTGTACCAGGTCCTCTGTGTGTTTGTGTGTGTGTGTGTGTGTGTGTGTGTGTATAATTATGGCTTTCAGTTTAGTGCTTTTCATGGGACACCTGAGTGTGTGAATGAGTGTCTGATTTTGATTTTTGTGACTGCTCTTGGGTTCTTTTCTTTCTGTTTAAAGTAACTTTAGTTGAATAATTATTTTTAGACTATTCTTCTGGTTCTTACACTGTTCATAACTAAATCACTTTTTCAGATGAGTTATTGGGATAGCTTAAGATAATTCTCAGTTTTATAAGGTGGTTGGCTTTTAAGTGTTAATCCAGTAACAGCTTAAAATATGATACATGCCTATCTACCTCACAGAATCTTTAAATGTCTTACCATCATGACATTCCATGTTACCTCATTTAGTTTATATTAACAACTAAAGCTAACACAGAACAAATGTTTTTGTCAAGTAGCATAAAATACGACATTTAAATCTTGTGAAGAACTGTCACGGAAGCTCAACTGTATGCCTCTATTTCTAAGAGTAACCCAATAGTATTTAATTTAGTAAGCTTAAATTTGTAGCTTGCTAAACAGCCTCTCCAGTTTTACTTGAAGGAAGTTACTATGTTTAAAAGGAGTGTTGAGAACTATTACTGACAAGAGAGAAGGGAAAGTGTAGTCAAGACTAAAGGGTGAAGACACTGAAGCATTTTTCTAGTCCCTTAACCGGAATTCTTACCTAGTATCTCCCTTCATTATCTTCAAATTTAAGAAGTAACAAACTCTAGTTAGTATCTGTGAATAGGATATTGTAGACACAAAGAAAGAAATGATGTCCCTGTGAGAAGTGGGGAAGTAAGTTAGCGAGAGGATTCAACAGTGTGGACTGCCATGTCTACATAGAACAATACTGAACAGTGCCCTTTGAGGAAGTAACAGAGCATATATGCATCTTCAAAAATATACACATGAAGTATCCAGGCCTGAGTGTATCATTTATGGGATGAATATTGCTGAGATATCTCCACTCGAGTGGAGGGATTGCTTTGTATTAGGATATTTAGAAAGTAACGTGCGAAGCTCCCCCATTGCTTGCCTAAAACGTTCATATTCTGAGTCATGATAGTCAGGAATAGTGACTTGTCTCTGCTTCAAATGAAATCTTCATTTTTTTCTGCGTCTTTCTCGTGGTGTCAGAGAAACTCATCAGAGGAATGAAAAGAATTCATTGTTAAATTCAAGCAGGTGTAGAAGAAAATATCCCTAACTTTCCTTGCAAGTAGAGTTCTAAAGTAATCATGCCTATATCCATGTCTTATATAGAACAAGGATAATATGTCCTTGACTACAGGTTCAAAAGACCAGTCTCTCCTTTCAGTCTGTACAAGAGGCTCACTCTTCATTTCTGTAAATGAGACTAGATGGTCTTAATTTTCTCAGGACACTTACCTGCTCTGCAAGAGCAACAGCCAAAAGGCAAGTAAAAATGAGGAACTTCATGGTTACTGAGTCCTGTAAAATAGACAGAAAGCCAATAGCTTTTTCTTTCTTTAACATCGTTTATGTCTTCACTGGTTGTATATGACTTCATGTTTTTCTCCTCTAATGAAAGGAGAATGGAGATTGACAAAAACAGATTAAGTTAGGAGTCACATGTATGCATGTGACAAGCTATTCATAAGGAGAGTATAATATGAAATTTTTACTTATGAGATACAGAAACTCCCTCCAGCCATAGTAAATTAAGAAGTCCATTGCTTATGTTATAAGTAATTTATTTAGCAATTTATTCATATTTGTTACCTACCATATCCCAGGAACCTTCATAGATCCAGAGATACAGATTATCTATTATAAATGTAATATTATATATACATATATAATATAAATATATTAGAACACATTATTTTTAAGATATATTGATTTTTTAATTACATATGATTGTGATGTCAGTTGAGTGTGCACTCATAAGTGCCAGTTCTGACAGAAGCCAGTAGAGGGAGCTAGTATGAGCCAACAGCCAGGAATGAGGAAAGTACAAGTGCTCTTAATATCTGTGTCATCTCTCCAGCCTCGGGACATAATTTTTCACCATTCATTTTCAATTTACAGTTAATTTTCAAGCTCAGGGAGAAAAAGAAACAGAAAAATAAACTGTAATTGGACAAGTATTGAGAGTTAAAGAAATGTTTTCTAGTTAATTTTTTTTAATATGTTGGTAACAGAAACAGAAATAGATGCAATTAATAAGCAGCAGTTCTATCCAAGGACAGAGCCAAGTATAAGAAATGAGTAGTTAAAGATGATGTCTGGGTACCAAACATCAAATACACCTAGATTTCTAAAACTTTTATTTTGGTGACCTTGCCTTTAAACTAGGACTTAGAACACTCATCCTTATGTAGAATAGTGTAGTCAGTTGTTTCTAGTGAGCATACAATAGTTCATTCTACCAACACTGAAAGACTGAAAAAAGACAAATCATTATATATATAAATATATATATTATATTAAAATAATACACACTACCTTAAGGTGTTTTGGGAATATGTATTTTAACTAATATATAATATGTAATATAGTTAATATATTAAATTAATTATATTTATTAATAACAATTAAATATAATATGTATATATATTAGTTAAAATACATATTCTCAAAACACCTTAAGGTAATGTGTATTAGTTGCCTTAATTTGGGGGGGGGCACAATGCCATTCCGTTTTACAATAATATATAGATTAGTAAAAGAAATGGAAACATTACCTTGCTTCCTAAATTGGAGACAGGCTGTCAGGCAAGGAGAGACCCAAGACGAGTTATCACAGCACTATTTAAATCCTGTCTCTCTAAGATATGATAATTGGAGGGTTCGAAGTAACCCAAGAGAGACTAGACTTCCAAGAAGTCAGGATGATTAGAAATCAGTACATTTTGTTTCCCATGTTCCTGGGAGTTCCTTCACTTGGGCTGATCTAGAACATGATAACGCAAAATGCGGATGTGCTGATGATGAGGCTCATCTGTTCTCTCTTTGACCACTCACATTTGCCTTGCCCTGGCTGCCCCATCCAATGTAAGGATTTCACCCAAGGGTGCTTTGATTTCTCTCTAGTCCAAATTGTTCATGTACATTTATTTTCTTTAAAATCCTAAATTCTACATTCTGAAATATTGGTTAGCTCTAAATTGTTTGACTCATTTTGCTACTTCCATCTTGTCAACATTTGACATCATTTAAAACATTTTCTATATTTGTAATAAATTAAAAGTATTAAAATATCATTTCTGCTTATAATTACAACTATAGTAGGCTTTTGCCTAGATGATGAAAATTTGAAATAAAGTGCCAACTTTCATTCATCTATAGTAATTGGAAAATGGATTATTTTGATTAGCTGAAAAGTTAAGTACCAGGATTTTTAAAATTCTGGCGCCTTTGTGTGGAAATCTCTAAGGAATTTATAATAGACAAAAGTGAGTTTTTCCAAATATGAAGATCACCAAAAGGTCTTAGATCCCTTTACCTGTTATTCTGTTTGTAAAATCTACTTCTCCAATAGCTTCTTAATATTTCTTTCCAAAACAGATGTAACAGTGAATTGTGCTGAACTAAAATATTTTTGTGGGTTTTGTATTATCGGAGACTCGTAATATTTTTCATAGATTCCAAAGTCTCCAAGAATCTTCCTAGTAGTTTGATTTTCCCTGTGGACTTGCCATTCTCTCTCTCCCTCCCTCCCTCCCTCCC